TATTTTGTTGCATATCCACATTAGCTGTAGGCACAATCAGAAGAGTGAGGAAGGCAAAGTTTTAAGATATCTGATGCTGGAGAAACCTGGAAGTTACGTAAATACTTGTTAGTAATCATATACAGGAAACAAATTCAGTGAATCTATAAGTCGTACCAGGCAGCTGGGTTTTCAGATCTCCTTCATTTTTAGGGGCAGTAGGGACTAGAGACATTTTGTGTAATCATGCACCATGCTGTGCAAATAGAGAGCAACAAAGTTAAAGAATGTACTCCTAAACTGGTAAGTTTGTGTATCAGAGTAACAGGATGGCAGAACTCCTAACATTCCTTTCCGGGAAATGTGTATTTTCTAGTACACCCATGCGCTTATGTATTATAAAATCTATAATATTTTTATAAAATACATATTTCCTTACCAGAAACAAAGAGGAATGCCACTTGTATTTTGTTGTGTCACTGGAGCCATCATCATGTTCTGGTGACCTGCTACTTAAAAAATAACTAACTAACCTAAATAAAGAACATCTCAGCACAGCTGGGTCATGAGGATGTTTTTTCCATCTTTGGAATAAAACAGAAAGCAGTTTTATTCCGTCGTTGCAGACTTGATTTCCATATTCTATTTCGGTGCTGATACCAGTTAAAAATCAGCTTTTCGCTTATGCCCGGACTGTTCCACAGCCCAGAATAAACAAAATTGAATGCATGTTGGACACGTACAGGCCTTGCCAAAGGCATAAATTCTATGAGCCATATTCAGTTTAGAATACTCCCAGGCTCAGCAGTTCCTATGGGTAGAGCCCTGTGTTGTTTAAAAAATAAAATTCTAGAGTATCATCTTGATGATATAAAATTATCCATTTGACTGAAATGTGTTTGGATTTCTTGCTTATATTGCACCTTTGTACCATTTTTCTGACGGCTCAGTTCAGCTGAGTTTCCCAAACCTTTTCTGCATCCGGCTGCACGCTGCACATTTTGTCTCACCTAGTTGTGTGTTACTTTCATTTATCTTATCCTGCATTTTAACCATTTCACAATTTTCAGTGAGCCTAGACAGCACTGTAGTTTTGATAGGGATAAGGGAAAATCCCTTTTATTTTGCTCAGTCAAATAAGTAAGAGACCGTTGCCTGTACTTGCTTCTTGAGAAACAGAACTTGTTTGTTGATTGTTTGTGGGTCTTCCCTATTTCAGCTGTATCTCAGTCTCAGCTTCCTCTCCTCCTGCAGTTAATTACCATTCCTAGGTTGTTCTCTCAACTCCTTTCCTCTTTGGGGAGTGGTGTTCATTAATATAAAACCACGTAAGTCTTCCACCCAGATTCCCACAGCTTGTTACGTACTTCTTTTTTTCCTTACTCCTCTCAGCATCTTTCTCTTCCAGCCTTCAACACTGCCTCTTGCTCTCTTTAAACTCCTCTACCCCCATGCAACCTGTCAACACGCTCTTGAGGGTTGCTCAGACTGAGCCCCTACGATCTTCATTCTGGCTGCTCCCTGTGTCTCATACGAGGGCTTGGTTCATAGCCCCATGGTCCCATCACCAGTTCCCATCTTGATTTTCTTCTCCTGAGCGTTGGCCTATGTGTGTCAGAGATGCAACTCAAACCTCACTTTGCGAACCATCAGTGCACCTGGTGCTGCATTCCTGAGAGCAGCAAAACAATTACTTAAATATTTTGAAATGTAGGGATGCAGCCTAATGTTTAAAGCTATTGTCCTCTTGTTAACATAGAGTAATGGTCTGATGGGATAATCTCCCAAGAGGAGAAATGCATACACTATAAAACGTATTAATTAAGCTTCCAGAGCATGTAAAAGAAGAATAAAGTAAAGAGACTTCAGTGCTTCTGTTGACTGTGAAACAAAGATATCCTGAAGCTAGTGCTGACTCCAGTTGATAAATCCGCCCACGTGATGCTGCATCTAGATCTGAGCTAGCATGTGAGGGACCAGCTCTGGAACCTCTGCACTTGCCATGCAGTTAATCCACAGCTGGATAAAGATCAGTTGCATTAGATTCAGTAACCTGTTGATCAGTGAGCAGATCTGGCAATCTGTTGTGGATATCTCATGCTTTTTAGTGGCATTTCCAAATGAGTTCTCAGGGACTTCGGCTTTTGAACTCAAAAAGCCAAGTCATGACTTCCATGTGGTTTAGAAGAATTGTGTAGTCAGTGCTTACAAGAATTATGTAAGAAAAAGCTAATTAAAATTTTCTTTTCATTTGATGAGTTCCTACCAATCTTGTAGAGCAAATATATGCTAGGTACTTGGTAGTAATTGTGTTGGCACTGAACCTGTAACTAATATGTATAACATACAGGTATCGAAAGAAAATGTTTTTCATAATGATGCTTCACAAAAAAAACCAAAACTAACATTTGTTAACCCTTCTGAAGGGGTGTCAAGTGCTCATGCACAATTCTGCCATTATATCTCCAGTGTGTCTTGAGTTGAATACTTTTATCATAGATTGAATAACGAAAGCTTTGACTCAGATGGTGAAGAAGAGCATAACATTATCGTAATATTAACTTCACCTTTATCCAAAAAAGTTGGAGTACTAGTCTGGAAAGACAGCTGTATATAATTTTTGCTTTATCAGCTAGAGAAGAGACACTGTGTAGGTACATTATGCACATCCTAAATCTTGCATATTCTGGATAAAATACTTTTAGAAAACCTGAAGTAAATGGAAGGACAAACATGGAAAAAAGCTCCAACTTAGGTATAGATTTTCAAGGAATTGTAATCTGGATTTTAAAAAATTGATAATTTGTAAATAAAATGCAAAATTCTGCTAAATTTATTGATTTAATAGCTTTGGGTGTCCTTTTGTAAAACCTAGTTTTAAAATCAGTTACATCTTCAGTTTGTTAGATGTCTCATTAAGGCATTTGAATGGTAATATTGCCTAAGGCCCTTTCAGAGTTAACCAGAAAGTATTTCGGTGGTGACTGGAACATTTTTAACATATCTGTAGACGATTTCAGCAACAAGTATTAAGACTTTATAGTTGACATTTAATATATCTGGTAAATAGTGCTCTATGGTTTGAAGAAGTAGCTCTGTGCTTTAAAAATTTATTAAAATATCATTTTTCCATATCTTGAGAGTGCTATTTTAATTATTTTCTCCCAGCAGTGTTATTTCCATATATATAATTTAGATAACAAAAATATTTTAAGTAATGTAGTACCTTAAATTTGGGGTCAGTGGTTAGTTAGTGGTTTTTGTTGTAAAAAACCAGGAGAAAAAGCTGATCTTAGTTACATCACTCTGTATCTGGAGTAACTGTCTGGCAGCTCCTAAGCAATATTTGTTTCTCTGATTAGAATCTGATGCATGGTGAAGAAAGTTTATCATTTATTGCTGCTTTTTCTTCCCTATTTTGTATATCCCTGTTAAGATGTTAATTCAGTGTATTTAGAGGTATTTGTCTCATCATTAACGGATTTGTTCGTGCTGATTTGAATCGTTGACAGGATTAAAAAAAACCAAAACACTTGTTAAAAAGTTATTTTGTACGTATGATCCGGTATTTAAAAAAATCTCAGCAAGGTATACGTTTTGCACTTTCTAAATGAGTTGGCAGAGCTTCTATCTGATGATGAAGTAGGTGTGTTTATAGAACAACTTTTTAGGGCTGACTGTCACGGTAAATGAAAAATTACTTTCCTGGTTCTGTACATTTTCTTCCCCAGAAGCAGTGAAAACATAAATCAGTTGGTAGCTAGCAGCTAATCGCTTAGCACTGACATACTTTAGTCAAGTGGGGGCATCGTTGGTCTTTCACAAATAGGTAATATGGCCAAAAGGATTTACTTGTTAAACTTAAGTGGCTGAGATGCAGTAAATTACTTGCTCTGTTTTCATCTTAATTTGGGAACTCTCTAGCTACAAGGTGCTTAAACAGCATGTTTGTTGTGTATATATGCTTTTAATTATATTACATTGAAAAAATAAGTGGGCTCAGTTCTTTTCCTATAATTCAGACTTTGGATTTATGTCAGTCAAATTGTGTCTGTTTAATTACATCTAAGAAGTTTTCAAAGTGACAATATTTTTCGGGTGAAATGAGTGCGTATTTCTTGAAAACATCAGCTGCTATCAGTACGTTCTCTGCTGAATTTGAGAAACAGCAGACAGTCTGACAAATACCAAATGCCTGAAATATTTTATTCCATTTTAATTCTTGGTTTGTGCTAACAAAAAAGTTACTAAAAGTGTCAAAATACCCTTTTGGGAAACGGTTGTTATTAGCTAATGATACTTGTTAGAAACCACCCTCTGATAAGGATTTATGGCCGAAATGCCTTTTCCACGTCGAAAAACGAAAGCCTGGAAGAGGAAACTCTTTGGGTATGGTTGGAAGAGGCTGTTTAGAAACACTGTGCCGTAATTACCTTTATGCAATTGCGCGCTTAAACAGGAGGAGCACAGCTGAAAACTTTATGCTGGAGCCTGTATGAGATGAATGCATTAATCATATGTCGCAGACGCGGTGACTTTGATTCCCACGCTGCAATGGTAGATCGCAACTCGTGGTAAACTCTATCCCTGCTATGCCTGGCTTTTGATCCAGTCGCAGCGTTATCTTCATTAAAAGCGAAAGGGCTTGTGGGGATGCTTTTCCATGGCTGCATTTTGGGAAATTTTTTCAAGGGTGTGTATCACGGTCTGTGCAGGGCTATGCCTTAAGTATTTCAGCACGGTGTTTCCACTGGTACAATTCTTGGCCTGTTCTCCTCTGTAGATCTGGAATCCCGTATATCTACATCCTTTGGAGACAAGTGCCACGGGCAACGACTGGAGATAATAACAAGCGATTTGTGTCTTTTGCAAGTTACAGTCATTGTAAACTGACAGCTGTGAAGAACCTAAATTCACATCAAAGGCTACAGATCATCTAGTTAGGTCAATTAATGTTAATTCTCATCTTCCATTAAATTCTTTCATCTTCTTCTTTTCTTTTCTTTTCTTTTTTTTTGCAGCCAAGCCCGATACCAAGTCCTGTTTTGGGGAGAAAGCCAAACGCTAGTCAGTCACTGCTTGTGTGGTGCAAAGAAGTTACAAAAAACTACAGGGGAGTGAAAATCACCAATTTTACTACATCGTGGAGAAATGGTTTATCCTTTTGTGCAATATTACATCACTTTAGACCAGACCTAATGTAAGTTGTATACTCTCTGTCTGCGTAAGCTAACTCTCCTAGAAATATGCAACATTTAAGTTTATGTAAAAATCAAATCCCTGTTCGTTTCAGGTGTTGAACTGTTTTCACCCTTTTCTTTCAAGTAGGGAACCATCCTTTCTAAGAAAACAGATTTATGAATGCTCAAACTTTATGACCTCTTTGCTCTCCCTTGTTGCATAAACAATTGTTTCTCCCCTCTCTGTGATTTGTTTTCCTTCTTCTTAATCTTATACAAAGAACTGACTTCAAGATGATTATGAAAATTGTGCCGGTGTTGAAATGAGATGAGAGGAATAAGCCTGTAGCTCTTTGTACGCTGACAAGGACGGATTACCTCCTGGTAAATTTGGTTGTCAAGGCCAGCCTCTAGTCCCTGCCTTAACTTCTTTTTTAGATGGAAAGCTTCAGGCAATGAAACATGTAATCGGTGTTTATTTATTTATTTATTTATTTATTCCTTTAATTTTCCACACTATTAGTTTTGTTGATTGAATTGCTGTGAAATTGCTAGTTACTGTACGATTTTATTGCATGTCAAATTTTTAGATTCAGTTTGTTTTAAAACTGCTGCTTTTATCAAATACTGTATATACCCACTGTGCCATTTTCCCCCTCAGTGACTACAAGTTCCTGAATCCTCAGGATATTAAAGAGAACAACAAAAAGGTAAGAACTGCTAGGAAAAAAAAAAAGACATAGCTTCAATTTTGGCTTCGCTGCAGGTTTGTATTAATTTTGGGAAAGTGCGGTTGTTTTGCAAGATCATAACTGCGGCTCACAGAAGGTATTCAACCTCCCGCAGTTCAAATCGGATGCATTATTGACTCTAGTTTGTCATGGTCTTTAACATTCACAACAAGTGAAAGGCTGGAATTAGAGTTTAATATTTGTATGGCCTACATTAACTGTGAAAGCGGAGGAAAGGGCTGGCCAACCTTCTGTGATCGCTCCTCTCATTTTTCCAATCAGGCACCTAATTAAAAAGAAAGAAAAACATAACTGCTCTTGGTTTGTCGCACACAAGACTTCCCTTTCTGTTGCTTTAACGGGGCTTCGTGCATCAGTCGTGGTCGATGTTGCTTTGATGGTGATTTTTATAATTTTAAAGATGAAATTTTGCACCTACTTTTATGCTGCGCAGCTGAGTGAAGCGATGGATGCAACATGGAAAGTTTAGGATAAACTGAAATATTAGCAAAATAGTTTATAGCATTGAAACAGCTAAGCAGCTGTTTCAAACCACTCTTTTTGTACCTTTGTGATGCAAAGATGTAAAAAGTTTCTTTGGAAGATACAGGAACTCAGTTTGGGAATCACCAGAAGACTCTTTATTTCTGCTCAGTATTTTAGACATGTTACAAACTTCAGTTGAGCCCTAGGGACATGTTTAGAAATGATAATTTTCATGTGAGTCATTGATAATAAAATTGTTCCTGAAGGTCATCTGAAAATTGTTTTTAAGGAGCTGCCTTCTCAATGCTGTGATTTTATTTTTATACCACTTTAAAAATGTTAAATTGAATTGGGATGAAGGTATAAAAATATACTTTGAATAAATTAATTAGGTTCAGTATTATATAGCAAATATAACTAAAGGGTTTTAGATTGTAGATGTGTGGAATTTCTGAAAGCGCTTTATTAAAATTCATTTGTGTTTAGGGTAATTATATTTTAATGTGCCTGCACACTTATATGTTAACCAGGGAGTTACGTCTTTAAAATAGTACTTAAGTATTATAAATAATGAAATATCTCTGAGCTGGTGTTATCTACTGAGTGATTTGGCCAATGATATCTTTTTCATAATAATACGGGGTCTTATGATGACCTAAGTGGATTATCCGTGACATCACAGTGTTTTCTGTGACCATACGTTTTTGTACTTCAAGTTTCATTGAGCATTGGGGCTAATTAAGTCGGATTATAAAAAAGAAAGAATAGATTATTAATTAAAAACATTACCGGTATGATCAGTCATCTTTTCTTTATGAAACTGTGATGGCAAGTGGTGAACTTTTTAGCCCGTCTCTCTAAGAGGATATAGTTCCCAGGATTGAAGAAGTAATGATTGTTGTTATTGTGCATTTTTTTCCTTTCATCACTTTGCAAGCCTTCGCCTGACAGCTACATTGAGTATCTCAGTTGCTTCCTGCAGATTTATTTCCTGGTCTCACACAGTTCTGCCTGATAACCCTGCGTGCCCTTGGTTGGAGTGAATGCAGCACTGGCAACAATGGCTGCCTATAAATTCCATGCAGATATGTAACACATTTGACAATGATTCCTCCTAACCAATTAAAATAACATCTATGGATGAATAGGACAATTTTCTTTGTCTGAAGCATCTCTATTTTTTTTTTCCCCTCCCAGCAAAGGAGGTAAGAGGTGACTGTGACCATAGATTAAAGATTAACCCGTAAGAGTATATCTTTTAGAAGTGCGTGACCTTGTTTGTATTTTAGTAAAAAAAGAAGAAATCTTAGGAGACAACTATTTTAGTGCAATTACTGTGTATAATTACACATTGAAATTCACTGTTACAAAAAACACATCATCGGAGTGTCTTTATAACGCAGACTAGTCATTTGCCAAATTGGTGCTGCCGCTGATGCTGAATAAAAAAGGGTATTTACCTGTGACATCTGATCTTGGCCAATATGTCAGTGTGTTACATAGTTGGGAAATGGTTGGAATACTGCCTGTGGTGCTTGTGCTGATGGATCCCAATTGATGTCTGTCAATCAGCTTGTCAGTAAATTAAAAAAGAAAAAAGAAAAAACTTCATCAGGAGATAGGTAGATAGGTTTAGTGTCCTGAATATGCATACGTGTGTGTGTTTAAGTATGTATTGTAATTTCCACAATATAATTATATCTCTGAAAAAAAAAAAAACATCCCAAAACCCCGAACAACTACTCCAGATTACATTAGCATCAGTCAGAATTCAAATATATTTTTGGTGCATTGTGCTTGTTGCAAATTCAAATTTCTGTGAGGAACAAAAGAGAAACCAGGGTTATCTTTGAGAAAATTAAAAACATTTCAGGGATACCTTCCCAGCTGATCTAAAGAGTTGTGGTTCTACTTAAACGTTATATATATCTAACTATCCATATAGCCTTCCCAATAACGTTAACCAACTAATTTTATTTACTACGTCCATTTGATTATTAGTAAATAATAATGAAAAGTGTGTTAAAATTACAGCATACCGGCAGTATAGTCCCTTATCAAGAACAGAAATTTTTCATATTGCTAGTACCATGTCCTGCACTTTAAAAATGTAAGCTACTAAACTACACTTGGCTGGAGCTTGTAGGGGATGAAAGGGCAAGAAGTGGAAGGGCACAACAGTATGGGTCTACTAATGAACTTCTGTTTTTTATTACTTTATTGTTTAGAGAAGCTTGTTTCATTTGAAGGATTATTGTGTGGAAATAGTAATATATCTTCTGGATGTTTGATTGGCACTTTCAATTTTTGTGATGCTTCCCCCCCCCCC